GCCGAGCGACGGCCCTGCACTGGATCGGTTGCTCGACCTAGCCGCCGACGCAGGGCCCAGCCACTTGCGCCTGCGGCCCTAACTCGGGACCGCGCGCCGTCGTAGGAGTAGTCGTAGGAGCGAGGTCGCTGCGTCACCTTCTCGCAGGCGGAAAAGTCCGGTGTAAAAAAACAATGTTTGCGTAATGAATGTCAATCTGAAGTAGGTCCGCAGAAAAGATGGCCCCATGCCCGGCAGCAAAGCACGCGATCCGCGAAATGTTTCCATCACAGAACCAACATTATCGGAAAAAACCGCCTCGTCGTTGTCGGCGTCGAGATTGGCGGCAGGTTTGGCACTGAGACCATGTAGCTCCTGCGCCTGCTCGGGCGACATAAGGCGAACTCTGTTCCTGCCGCATCCAGACATTCCGCGATCACCGGCTGGGTTGCGCGCTGGTCCGGGCTTATTTGGCTGTCGCAACTCAGCACGCCTTTTGTGGCCTCTCTCCTCGAGCTCCCCCCTGCTGCCGAGCTCGGAAAGGCCCACAGCCCGAGTTGCGCGAACTCCTCGCTGAGGCGCGCTGGGACCACGCCTAGCAGGCTGTGTCCACCACCAGCGGTGCCGGCACTGCAGTGTACGGCGCATCGGCACAGGGACCTTGGAGATCCTACTTGCGGTGAAGAAGGTGCGTTTTAAAAAAACCCATCCAGCACAGAAACATTTCTATCACACACGAGATGATGCTTGGCATCGGAAGCAGGGCGGGCAATGGTGGGCAGATTGCAAGTGAAAATCTACATCGGCCGCTGTGTTACATGTGTCACCACGGCAGACACCAAGCGTCCCAACCAGCGATGCGCCATTGGCTGCAACATGGGACGAGCTTGAGATTCTGAGGCTGCTACCTTTGTCCGTTTTGCCGGGTGCGATCTGCTACACCACCTTCACGCGCTGCCGCCATCGCGGTTTTTACGCTCCGGTGGTTTGCGCTCCTCTCCTTCGGTGGCGCGCGCTCTGTCGCAGCATGTCGCAGCCAGCTTGCTGTCCTTGCCCCTCAGTGGCACGGCCAACGTGGACTTGGACTTGCTGAGCGACATCCTCGCCGACTCACCTTTCCAGCCCCCGCATGCCAAGCGTGTGGTGGGTGTATGCACAGGGGCAACGCTTGCTGCGGACGTCGGTAAAAAAGCTCCGCGAAGAAAACAAACAGACATGTGGCCTTCGACATCTTTCGACATGGGTGTTGATCAGCTTAGCGTTGCGACCTCCGTCCAGCAACAGCTTGGCAGCAGAACGCGGCACGGCCACATCAACGAAGCTGTCTCAACATCAACATCAACGACTCCCGGATTTGCACTCCTTTTCTCCATGTCGTGCACACGCCCCTTGCCAACCATGCATTCCGCATGTGGCCCCATCCGGTTCCCTTATACAGTATACAGCAACGAATGACAGGTCCTTTTGCGCGGTTTGCCATTGCGTCATGCATGGCTGATCGTCGCGTCTGAAGCCCGGCCGAGCACGCGGCCCCGGCAGGCTACCGGGAACGCGAGCAGACGAGTTGTGGGTGAAACTGAGGCGAATGAGCTTCTTTGAGTTTGCAAGCCTGTCCATCCCCGTGCGCGCCGCGCTCCGGACAGAGATCGTTTGCTCTGGCCTTCCGCTCTGGCACTGGGCTCAGCTTGCTGTTGACACCACCTGCGTCAGCCCTGTCATTCGCTCCGTCGAGCCGCGGCCCGGAGCTGACAGTCAGCCCGGTTTCGCCCTTCGATGCCATCTTGTAGTATTTGCTGTTGAGATTGATGGCCGCTGTGAGCTCCCCCTCGACACCGTCGCCTTTGCTGCCTGCGAGCCGGCCATGCGTGAGGTCCTGCAAGATGAAGGATGGCTCCACGCCCGCCTCCAGCCGACTTCCGGCGAGGGCCTAAGCTCCCGGCGCAAACGTAGGCTGCCGCTGCACTGGGACCGCGCTCTTACTGGCAGTGAAAATGTGTGTGTTGAAAAAAAAAACTTGTCCGTGCCGTCCCACATGGCGGACTTTCTGGCAGGAAGTTTGCGTAATTTGCGTATGTCCCGCTACGTCTACCAGTGGCAGTACTGTCGGAAGGAGTCGCCAACATTCAATATTGAGTTGTTGCGGATTTTTTTGGTGCAGCACGGGGCCGGACCCTTTGCAGACGTGCCCGAGGGTTCCTATTTGCACGATCCTGCACGGGGTTTTCATTGAGGTGCAGTGCCGCCACTCCACGCCCAGTCGACGCGAGCCACTGCCTTGCGGAGCATTGCGTATATTTTGCACAAACGGAGAAGCACGCGCACCGACAAACATTGGAAATTTCCTTTGTTTCAACTACACCAACGGGTTTAACTTGCGTCTAATGTTGCTTTCTTGTCTCAACAGCTGCTGATTGAAATACGTGCATGATACAATGCAATTTTCAATTGTTGTGCTCAGGCTCAGCCGACTACGCGGGCAAAGTGGAGGCGTGGGTGGCAAAAGAAGGTCCGGAATTGAACTGGTGCAGATTTAGAATCAGGACGGAGTCATCAGAAATGTGGTGCCATGTTGCCTAGGCATGGCAAGCAGGCTCCTGCGTTTCCTGGCCACTTTGATGCCAGGCCTTCGCGAGGCACTGTGATTGCGTGAAGTCGTCGGATGCCGACGTCGAGCGAGACTCTTGAAACTTAAAGGGCGTAAGCAAGATTTGTTGTCTCAGATAAGTCGTAGCAACCGTAGCAGTTCTGTGGTAGATTGTGTGTCGAGCCTGTGGGTTTGCGCAGCCACCGTCGTACAAAACTAACATTGTGCTAGAACAAGTTGCGGCTTTTCGTTTGGCCTGTGGTTCACTACGACTGACAGCTGCTGAGATGGCTTTGTCGGAATGCCAACGTTCGGAGCATTATCCGATTCTGAAGTATGTACCGGTTTGATGTTTTGATATGGGAATTGTGGAACAGACTATTCTTCACCGGTTTGGTCTTAAGCCATTAACGCAGATAACGCAGTAACAAAGCCAAGCACCACGTGTGCACGCACAAGAGGAATTCAATGAGTCGAACGTTGCATTGGGTTTCATGGGTTGGGTGTTGACATACTGCATGTACAAGCCTCTTAACACTGGATCGCTGGCATTGCCCGGCTCCACACCCAGACCCCTTCACGTTGCGAAAGCTAGCGATCAGCACAAACGACACAGGAGCCACGAAGCCCATGCCATGACGACAAAGGTTCCTCTATGGTGCAGGTGTGGACCTGGAGGCTACAAGCATCGGTGCGCGATTTTCTCATAAATAAATTTCTGAAGTGGCAGGCTGTCGCCAAGAAGCCATTCAGCAGCAATCAGATAGGTTTCGTCATCAAGTTCGCGCGTGAGACCTGACGAATGCCAAGGTGGTTGCAGCAGGGCCCCAAAATAGTTGCCCGGCGTGGTTTGAGCTGATCCTTTCCTTGCTGCTGACTGTGCGAGTATGTCTGGCTTGTGTTTGCTACGTTTTCGTGCCATGCAGAAATATTGACTGCTGTGCTCCGCAAGCATTGCTGGAGCTTGTGTTGCAACCTGCCGCAACTTGCAACTTCTTACTGAAGAGCGCGCTTGGCCACCCGAAGGTCGTGATTACACGCGGCCCAGATGGAGCGCATTTCTCGGAACTGTTTGTCCGTTTCATACGCACAAGAGAAGGTGCACTAGGCCCTACCGATTCCATGGAAGCAGTGCCAGGCCACTGCGTGGTTTCGTCAAGGGAAGAACGGGCCGGGTGCTGAAAGCCACGGTGCTGTCATTGTCAGCAAACCGTTGTGTCTCTGCCATGATTGGCTCACTTTGCTTCTGCTCTTTGAAGAACTATTTTTTCAGGCCCATCACGTCCCTGTCGGCTTTGCCCCCGTGCAAGCCACCGATGACCATCGATGCCAAGGTTGCTGGGGGTTAAAGCTTGGCATAGTTGCAGGTGCTATTGCATGGAACTTGGTGGTGACGAGCAGCTAGAAGACCCAACACCCACAGTACTAGAACTTCGTTCCAGGAGACTCCATTACACGGAATGTTCAGTCGACTGGGCCTGCAGCAGTCATGAGACACTGTTGACCAGACTCCTGGCATGCTTGCAGGGCCAGCAGGCACCTGTGGTGGACACCGTCGGACCATGCCTTATAATAGCTTGTCTTGACAGCACGAGTATTGCAGCATTCATCCAGAATTTGCATCTTGCCACGTTCTCTAAGGTGCCGGAGACACATGCATGGGTGCATTGCTTTGTGGTTTCCTGGGTAAGGCAGGAAGAGCCCAGCACAGGCTGTGTGTGTGTGCGCTTTGCCTGCAGTTACTTTGTTGGCTGAACGGCCGCCCCTGTTTTAGCAGAACCGCGCCCGACCCTAGCGCACAAGTCTTACAGCACATTGAATCTTGGGCGAGTTCTCGCAGCTTGGCGCAGCTGGTTCAGGCTCAGATACTGTACAACAGCCGAACGAACATAAATGAAGCAAGCAGCATGGCATGCAACATGTCCGGTTCCACTCTTGGAAGTCTCCCATGCCAAATCACGCCCACACTGGGTGCTGCATTGTGTCATACTCAAGGAAAAGAGGCGAGTTTTATCCGCGTCATATTTCAACATTCATGGCTGCCCGGAGGTCTTGATCATAAGGCACCCAAGACAGTTGGCATACACCCTTTCTACCCTTGTCGTTTGTGAGACTGCTTCACGCGTTGTCCACCCAATGTCTTCGCAGCAACATGGTGTGGAGGCGCAGATCTTTTGCGTGTTTTGTGGGGTCTTACATGTGTTTCAGTTGGTTGTAGCTCTGGCACGGGCAGGTCGGCTCTGAGAAGAGCACTGCTGGACAACGTGGCAGTTGGAGGCGATCCCATTTCCCGCTTGAGCCCGTTTGCTTTGGCACGGCTAGCAGCTTGCCTATACTTGACGGGCCGGGATGGGGTGGTTAGTGTTTGAATAGGGTCGTGGATAGACTTATGCAAGTAGGCTAAGTCGAGATAAAAGACTCGTAAGTCAAGATGTCACACATATATATATATGTATGT